CGACCGTCGCGTTGTAATGCCCCCGTTCAGTGAACCCTGCCGTGGTTGCCGCCTGACTCCTGACTGCTTCGCGAGCGAGTCTGGCAGCCCGAACGCGGGGCCGTTGTACGAGGCCTTGGCCCTGACGCTCGATGAGAAAAGGTTGGCTGTGCTTTTCCTTGCCGTGCCTTTTTGTAGAAAGACTCTGGCCCTCGAGACCCTCCCGCATGCCACTTTGCGTCGAACCCTAGCTGCAGCCACTGTGCGTTGCCGACCACGTGTAGCGTCCAACCCAAGATAGCTGACGTGCAGCTGCTTCTTGATAGAGATGTTGAGCGGCTCAAGCTTCCTCGCCACCGCAACGTGCACAGCTTGTGGTGCCAGCATGGCCGGCCTATCCGATCTCTTTAGGTCCGCTCGCAGACATCCCTTCACCAAAGGAAAGGACGCCTCGAAGATCTGATACTCGACGGGCGCCAGAGTGCCTCCAAGTGTGAGCACTGGATCGCCCCCACGAGGAGGATGATGATGATGAGGAGGAGGAGGAGGATCAGGAGGAGGAGGGGGAGGAGGAGGAGGAGGAGGAGGAAGAGGAAACAGGATAATGAGGATGAGGATGGGGATGAGGAGAGGAGGAGGAGGATGGAGGAGGAGGAGGAGGAGGAGGGGGGAGGAGGAGGAGGAGGAGGGAGGAGGAGGAGGAGGAGGAGGAGGAGGAGGGGGAGGCTGGGAGCGGGCGGCCCAGCAGCGGGAGCCCGGCGGCGGGCCCGAGGGAGGCGGCGGGGGCGGCAGCCCACAAGGAGGGCGGCCGCGGCGGCGGGGCCGGGCCTGCCTCCTCTTGGGCGTGGCTTAATGGGGGGGTCACAAACCCCTAAGGGCTTGTCGACTTTTCGCCAATCGACTTGTGAGAATCGAGCCAGATAAACCCAGGTAAATGCAGATCAATCGAGGTAAATCCAGGTAAATCTAGATAAATCTGGGTAAATCCAGGTAAATCCAGAGATCTCCAGGGAAAGTTCGAGCACTTCGCGGCCGCTCCAGCGCGAGTCGAAGGACGGCAGAAGTCGTTAAGCCTTTAACGAACAAATGGGGGGGTCAGAAAAGGTCCCCTTTCGTGCCCCTTTCGGGCCCCTCCAGAGCCCTAGGGGGCTCGTTTGGGTACCGTTTGGGTACCTTTTCGAACCACCCTCGCCACCCCCCCCATGTATGACCCCCCCATTACGCGGCGCCCAATCCTCGCTGGCAGGGCGCTCTCCGGAAGGATTGCGACGCTCGGCGGCGAGCGAAAGGGGGGAAGTGAGAAGGAGGAGGCCTTTCGCAGAAGGCGGCGGGGCTTCTCGGAAGCGCCTCGGCCTTCCGAGAGGCCTTCGGCGTCTTTGGGGGAGGGGTTCGACAACTCCTCAGTTCTCGGAAGGCCGGAGCACTTGCTGGCCGTCTGTCGCGCCGTCGCGCCAGCGAGCGCCCGCTCCAGCCCCGCGGGGCAGCCCAGCCCCTGACCGCCGAGCTCCCCCGCCCCCGGCCCAGCTGCCCGAGTCCTCCGAAAAGGCCCGCCCCCTCTGCCTTCCCCCCCCCAGGCTCGCCGCCGAGCTAGGGCTCCCAACTTCGCGCTCTCGCGCTGCGCGAAGCGCGAGAGCGCGAAGAACTTCGCGCTCTCGCGCCGCCCTCCCAAAGGGAGAATAGGAGGACGAGGAGGAGGGGGAGAAGGAACGAGGACCGCGAAGCGCGAATAACTTCGCGCCCTCGGGGGAGCCCTTGCCGAGGCACTGCAGGGAGGCGCCGCGCTGGGCACGAGCGCGCGCCCCAGAGCGGAGCGGGCCACCCTCGGAATGGGGTTGCGAGCGCGGTCGCGCTCCTCAGGGGATGCGCGGGGCCAGGAGAGCCCAGAATCGAATCGATAAGTCGGATCGGTGATTGAAATGAATCGGATCGGCGGAAATCGGCAGCCACGTCGGGAAAAGTCGAATCGGCGGACATCGGCAGGCTGGTATGCCTCCAATGAGAAATCGGAACCCAAATCGGACTCCCAAGTCGAATCGAATCGGAATCGGAAGCCATCGAAAACGAATCGAATCGAATCGGAGGGATCGAAGAGAGCCCTGCGGGGCTGCAGGGAGGCGCCGTGCTCCTCACGGACGCGACGCGCTCCTCGTGGCATGCGAAGGGACTGCAGGGCAGCGGCGCTGAAAGGACCGCGACCCCGCAGGGACGCGCCGCGCTGGGCGCGAACGCGCGCCTCCGAGCGAAAAGCGGGCCACCGTCGGAACGGGCCGAAACTACGACCTGCGACACCGCAGGGAAGCGTCGCGCTGGGCGCGAGCGCGCGCCTCAGAGCGGAGCGGGCCACCATCGTCAGATGCTCATTCTGGGGACCTTCCTGGAGCCACTCGCTCCACTCGTGCGTCGAAGCTGCGTCGAACCTGAGTAGAACCTGAGTCGAACCTGAGTCGAACCTGAGTCGAATCTGAGTCGAATCTGTGTCGAACCTGAGTCGAACTTGAGTCGAACCTGAGTCGAACAGATCCATTAGGTCATCGAATCATCGGGCCTCGCCGCTCGACGTGTGCGCGCGCCCGCCCGCCGCAGAGGATCTCGCGGCGGGCGGGAGCGGGGCCCTGGAGCGGGGGGCCCAGACCCCGTGCGGTGGCGGACCGCGCGGCGCCCTCGAACTCTCACGGAGGCCCCACCGCGCGGCGTGTCGTCGCCGCGCGGGCCTTGGCCCCGGTCGCCCGAGGCGTCCCCGGAGAACGACCCGAGGCCCCAACACCGCGCGGCGACCCCGATCCCCCACGGAGGAGGAGGAGGAGGAGGAGGAGGAGGAGGAGGAGGAGGAGGAGGAGGCCCTGGTCGCCCCCGAGGCGTCCCCGGAGAACGACCCGAGTCCCCAACACCGCGCGGCGACCCCGCACCCCCACCGACGCCCAGCGCCGCGCGGTCACCGCACCGCGCGGAGGGGGGCCCCCCTCGGCAGGAGGTGCCCCCTGTGTTTAGAGAGGGGCCCAGAGGCCGCGGCAGCGGCAGGGGCTCTCTCTCCGCCGAGGGGGCGGAGGGGCCGAGGAGGAGGAGGAGGGGGACCAATGCAAACCCAAGAATCATCAACGATGTTGGAATATTATCAAGGGGCCCAAGAACACACACATAAATACACACAAATAAAATGATCCACCATAGTTTCCCATATTTTCTGGGTGTTTGTCTTCCCCCCCACATCCCATATTTTCCCATATCTTCCTGGGAGTCGACGATTAATTGTGTCTGTGCGTTTTTTTCCCTCCTGATATTAACCCTCCTTCCAAGCTCCCTCTTCATAGACCCCGTACAACCGTTCATTTCCATGTAGGGAACTGCCTCTTTGGGAAACAACCGCTTGAGGACCTTGAAGCATGCCAAAACATGGTTCGCGTGATTTCCACGCCACGGATCGACCTGACTGCTGCGTCCTGACGACCTGGAATCGTGCCAAAACGCCATGGCTGGGACTTCAACACCGCGAATCAGCATAACTGTTGCACCCGCATAATCCTGAAGTCTTCCAAAACACAATTTCTGGAACGTTGATCATGGGAGTCCATAGAACTCTTGCAAACGAATCTGCCTGGCGCTAAGGCGAGAACCACAGTTTGAAAACCACCCGCAGATGTTTAAAACGAATGTTCGAGGCGCTAAGGAGAGAATCACATTTTGATAACCACCCACCCTCAATCCGTGGAGCTCTTGCAAATGTTTAAAACGAATGCACGCGGCGCTAAAGCGAGGGCCATAACTGGAAAACGACCCGCCATCAATCCGCGAAACTCTTTCAACTTTTTGTTGTAAGAAATGCGCGCGGCGCTGAGGCGAGAGCCACATTTTGATAACCAGCCGCCCTCAATCCGTAAAACTCCTGCAATTGTTTAAGACGAATGTACGCGGCGCTCAGGCGAGAGCCACATTTTGAAAACCACCCGCCCTCAAACCGTGAAACTCTTGCATTTGTTTAAGACGAATGTGCGCGGCGCTCAGGCGAGAGCCACATTTTGAAAACCACCCGCCCTCCATCCGTGAAACCGTTGCCATGCTCTAAGCTTCGGAATCATACATGGTGAAGAAGTCTCAGGCGAAACGCCCGGCCCGCCCTAAAAGCTGGCCTCGGGGTGCGACAGGGAAAAGTGAGTTAGAAGGAATAGGAATGGAGGAGGCGGAGGAGAGGGAGGAGGAGGAGGAGGAGGAGGAGGAGGAGGAGGAGGAGGAGGAGGAGGAGGAGTAGGAGGAGGAGGAGAGAGGGAGGAGGAGGAGGAGGAGTAGGAGGAGGAGGAGGAGGGAGGAGGGAGGAGGAGGGAGGGAGGAGGAGGAGGAGGAGGAGGAGGAGGAGGAGAGGGAGGAGGAGGAGGAGGAGGAGGAGGAGGAGAAGGAGGAGGAGGAGGAGGAGGAGGACGAAGAGGAGGAGGAGGAGGAGGAGGAGGAGGAGGAGGCGGCGGGAGAGGCCGCAGAGCGGCCCTGGCGGGGGCCCCACCCATAGGCCCGCGGCGACGGGTCGGGAGGCAGCCTGGGCCAAGGGAGCTGACAGCACGGCAGGGACGGCCTTGTTGTTAACCATCAGGGAGACACGATGTCGGCTATCGACGTCTGGACTCGCACACGCAGGCACGAACAATCGATCGGGGAAACACTCGTGCCGAAGAAGCGCCCGAATGGAGATGGCATAGTTCTTCTCGTGGTTTTCCACGCAGAAATACCCTCCAGGACCCGTCGCGGGGGGGGCCCAGGCGCCCCGAAAACACACCGAAAACACAACTTTGAAGTTAGGGCGACGGGCGAGTGCAAAGCAGGGAGGGAGGAGAAGTGCAACATTCCCTCCGGAACACTCGCGCAGCGATGGCAACCAACGAAAGTTGTTCGCACTCTAAGAGCCGCCTCCCACACATGCATGGTAGCCGGCCCTCCCTCTGGTCCTCAGAAAATCAGTCTGCAGCGGGAAATCTCCCCACGTTCACTCGTTCGGTCAACCGCTCGCTCCCCCCGAGGCTCAAACAGGCCGGGCTCACGACTCGGTAGCCGTCGATGATGACGCCGTGGGTGTAGGCGTCGGGCTCGCACCTGACACAAGGATGGCGCCGCGTCTTGACGGGAGCAGTGGGCAGGCAAACCTCGGACGCACCGCTGTCTCACCACGACATTGCTGCGGCCTTTCAGAGACGAGCAGAGCACTGTAATGTTGTTCTGCCTCGTCCCTTGTCTGTGTGCGCGCGCAGCCTCAAGCAGCTGTCGCACACGCGCTCAGCCTTGGCCAGAAAACTCTCAAAAGGACCGCGGCCGTAGAACCTCACGGCTTTTTCGTTGTTTACCGAGCGCTCCCCACGATGTATATACTCGGGAGGGATGGGATATCGAACAAAAACCCTTCAAGGCTGGAAATGCAACTACGAGGCCTTATGCTCGCTGAACTGCTGAGCCTCTGAATGGAGCTCTCGACGATCAGAACCACATCTCGTAGCCCACCGGACTGCCTGAGAAGTTAGTTCTGAAGTGCCGAGAGAGAGAGAGGGAGAAAAAATAAAAACATATCGCA